AGAAGACACACAACATTAGATTTTCTTTAGTGCTGAAATCAAGAAGAGAGAATTCTGCACCCTGCGAATACTCTCTTGCCGCCTCCTTGTTCTTGCCGCCCTGTTTGCCAGTTCGATCTCTAGCTACCTGTGGTGAGTTGCCTATGCCGAGCTGCCCGAGCTGTACCGAGCTGCCTATGCCGAGCTGCCCGAGCTGTCCAGTCGTCAAGAGGCTGCACTTGGTTTGCATGAGGTGCCAGGTGTCACAATTTCACTGGAGGGCCAAATCCACCCTCATCAGTAAATGTGGGGTGCCTTAGTTGTGTCATTGGAGATATTTGCAATGCATGGTACAATGTGCATGTGGGGTGCCAATGTAAAATTATTCGACCGATTCCCTGTGGTTGATTATGTATATGTTTGGCATCGATGCTGTTAACGTATGGTTTGGAGTACTGTTTTTTCAAAAAATGTTAGGATGTTTGTTGTAACTATATTAACTTTTTCTGTTTGATATCATTATTTCAGAAAACGTTTTCAGTTTTGGTACGGTGATACCCATTATCCCGTGCCACATTAGTGTCATATAACTGCCCTGTTGGCAGTAATGAATTGCAGCTCCAGAAAATGTCAAATTTGACATTCCTCCAAACCATGACTTCCCGATTTCCAAAATGTGACTTGAAGCACCATTTTTTTCAATGTGACGCTGTCGCTCCAAAAAATAGCAATGATGCCAAACAGCCCCTAAACTGCCTACATGGAGGGTTAGCACCGCTCAAAAGAAAATATAATAGATCAACTGCCACCAAGAGCCACGAGGTTAGAGACAGACACCGACCACGCGAGCGCTACGTTGTAGTAGATCAATCATCAATCCTTATTTGCCAACTCTGAAGCTCAAACCTGCCTTATGTTAGCGGTGCATCTTAACAAGAAAACGGCAGATGTTTAAGCGGCAAGCTCTAACAGAAACGAAGAACTACTTCCTTGTCCTCGCCCATGTCTGATTTCTCATCTTCTTAACTCTGAAAGAGGTACTATTGTTGTTGTTGTTTGTTATTAGTGTTTTCTTTTCCATACTGGTCTCCTCTATGATTGATGAGGTTTCCGCTACAGTAAACTGCCCTAGATCCGTTAGTTCGTTTTTCGGTAATTTATCGTCCCAATTTTGATTTTCTGCTATCAGTTATCTCACAGGAGCCTGTGGTGGGGTTTTGTGTTCAGCCTATTTGTCAACTATAGCTTGCCGTATTAATCTCTAATATTTGGAATATCTATTCCTTCGCTTCATGCTAGTTGCAGATGATTCTGACATGGAAATTGTAACTCTAGTTAATTTGATCTTGGTTTTATGTTGGAATGTCAACTCTGGCTAAGATCTAAATCAACCAGCTGAGTCTTGTATTCCCCCACTTTAGTCAAACTTGCAGCTACAACTTGGTTATCCGATTTCAATGGAATTGGGACATTAGTGATGGTCGAGATGATTTGTGGTTCCCACCAGTGATTGAATTAGACGTCCTACTCTTCCTTGGTTAAATGTTTGACTAATGACCATTGGAACTGTAAGGTTTGAACATTATGTATTTTCATTGTTAATTCACCAGGAGATAAATTAATGTAAAAAATGAATTTTAGCATTCTTTTGTATAGCACTTGGATTTATGTATTATTTAGCAAATATTTTGACTAGGGGAAATATTAAGAACCCATGTGTATCATGAAACATGTACTGAAGTAATAGATAAGCTGAATTTTGAAAATGATTGAAACAGCCTTATAACTTGCCATATTTTCATAAACAATCTCTTGTTTAAGTGCTTATAATTTAACAATTCAACCACAATTAATCAATTTTTATGATCCTGAGATATCTCTCAGCTTATCTCTCACAGGATAAGATGGAGAACATGCATTACGCAGAGGAGCTTGTTAAGGAGTTTCTTGTCTTCAGAGGGTTTACAAGTACTCTACAAGCTTTTGAGACGGAGTTGTCAACAGATATTGGAAAAGGGTTTCAAGTGGACAAGATCCTAGACTTGATCTTCTCAGTATACGTGCCCAAGTATCAAGCTGAAAAATTAGTGGGTCTATTGAATTTTTTCAAGCAGTGCTTCTCTTCATCCAATGAAATAGTACTCAATACTACACTATCAAAGTTAGAAGTCTCAATTCTACGGTACTATATTGTCCATGCTATAAAATCAGGCAGGAGAGACAAAGTTGTAGACTTTTTTGGAGCTAATGGCAATGATTTGCTGCAAAGAGGCCAGGACTGGACTCCATGGTTTAGTGGGTCTTTTCTTCCCATCCTTCCATTTTCTTACTTATCTACTTAATTTAGATTTAGGCTACTGTCACCATTCAATCTCTTCATGAGTTGGATTTACATAATCTTTCTATCTCTCTTGCTAAGGATAAAGTGGTTACTTATTTTTATAGTTACTTTTTATTTATTTATTATTACTACCTGCTTTGTGATTTTTTGAATGTACCTTCCCCTTACTTTATAGCATGGGATGTTCTTTGCAGCCATTCCATATCTAAAAAATCCAAGCTTGGATCCTCAGTTCCGTGTCTTTTTTTCAAGGGAGTGGTTCGATGCCTTGCATCTTTCTTTCAGAAACTTCTTAAGTGAGATCTTCAATGGTACTCATATCCTTTGGTAGAACATCTTTTTTTTTTTTTTTTTTTTCTGTTCAGAAGATGCTTACTTATTATGTTTAAAGTTTAATCAGTATTCTAGATTTAAGACCATATAACAATCACACGTTAAGAAACTTTTGTTGGACCTCTATAGTTGTTTGTTGCTAAATGGATTTTATTATCCTACTATTGTATGTAATTCTTTCTATTTTAAGATCAGATTTTGATAGATGTTGAGGTGTGGAATGTATCTATCCCCAGTTAATTGATATTATAAGTTAAATATTCATGCTGGAGGGATTTTCTATGGAATCTCTTGGCAACATCTTTTCTTGGGGTTCTAGGCGTAGGTTGATGTTAGTGATTGGAGAGGTGTGATTGTTTTATATGTGGAATGGTGTTTTGTCTTCTGATGGGATGTTGTTTGTTTTTGGGGTGAATGTTTTGTAGGTTTGTTTGTGTGGGGGTTTTGTGGTGTGTGATTGTTGAGCCGTTGCTTCTCTCTGCTGATTTCTTATCACCTTTCTTGTACTTCTCTTTTTTCTTTTTAATAAAATTTTTCTTTTACTATAAAAAATATATTATTCCTTTTTATAGTTAAATAATTTTTTTGATCAATAATTTTTACAGTTAAATAATGTCAAAATAGTTTATCATTTTCCAACATTTTTAAACAAAGTATATCAGTTAGATCACAGCAAATTTAGATTATAATGGCTGTTTTACTTTGGCAACACTAGAATTATCATTTTACCTCTAGTTATTACTAGAGGATGTCAACCAGTTCTTCTGCAAATTCATCTTATTGCATATATTATTTTCAAAAAAATGTTTCCTTAACGAATTCACGCATCCCTGTCCTATTAAGGATCAGTACTGAGAAGAATACCGTTAAGCGTCTCAAGAAAGACATTAAGCAACTTAACATTAAATTGTCACAACTCCAGGCTTTATTGGAGGAAAAGGAGACCCAGCTATGCCAATTAAGGGGGTATTTTTTCGTTCTATATTCATCACTGTTGCTAGTTGACATGATGCAAGTTTCTGAATGAAACCAATGTTGCTTGCATTTAGTACTGCTTCATCAGCAATGGAAAGAAGCCTGCTTGAAAAGAATGGGTCTTCACATTCACAAGCTTCAAATGGAACTGCAGTAAAGACCGTAAATGAAGAAAATGATCTTTCATCCAGGGGTTTTCTTGAAACTAGTGCTGTATCTACTTCCCGTTTACGAGACCCTGGAGTTGGGGAACAGGAGAGGGATGTTTCTGGCCTTACCGAACTTCTGTCTGGTCTAACATCATCTGAATCAGAACGTTACTCAAATTCAATAAAACGTCCTGTTGGAGATGATGAAGCTACAACTAGCCTTCAAACATCTCAAAGTGGCTTCCATTCTGGTCTGTTGCTATTCTCTTTTTGTTCTTAACTAGTAACAGAGATTAAATGAACATAAAAAAGAAATATAATACCCTAGGTCATAATATGTTCCAAGCCGCTGAGAAGCATTATTCTGCAATGAAAACCATCTTGATGTTCTTCAAAAAAAAGAAATCATTGTAATGTTCTTAGCTATTTGTTTACTTTGATCTCTTTGTAAATCTTGGTTTATTCAATTAATTAACCATTTGGAGAGGTTTCAACAGAAAATGGTGGAGAAATGCAGATAGAGGAAGACTTCCCAGAGGTCAAAGTAGACTTCCAGGTATAATGAAGTCATATGAAATGTTTCTTCCCATTTTTGAAACTTTAAACTACTCATATTTGTAATTCATGCTTCCTTCACTTGCAGTTTTATTTTTGTTTTATCTGTCTAAAGACATTGGTTTTCAGGAAACCTTTTTGGGCCATACTAGTCCAATTAGTAGATGCCGCTTTTCTGCTTCTGGAAGCAATATTGCAAGTGCATCTATGGATGGCACAGTCAGGTATTTACTTTTGGAACTGCAGAAGAAACAATGTGACAACCCCTCCACCCCCACTCCAACCTCCTGCTTTTTTTTTTTTGGGTTAACAGTGTAACTTTATTAACTGCAGTAAAAGAATGTATGTACAATGAGGATTGCCTCTTGTTAGGCTAGTTCATACCACCTAACAAGAGGCAATCCTCTTGCAGTCTGATTGAGTTTAGGACTATCTGATTAGTTCTTGCTGCAAAATTGCATTTCCCTAGTTGATCGTTGCAGTCTGATCAGTAAGCTACCTTTTCTTGTTTTATGTTTTAATGAAGGATATGGACTTATGACTCGTCATCCTCAACATCTAGAAATGCAACCATATACTGTGGAGCTGAGATTATGTCACTTGACTGGGAGTGCAAATCTGACCGCTTGGTATGTTAAATACAATATGTTTGAAATGTGTATTATTCGTAAATTGTGTTTAGATAGTTGTGATGTTAGAATCATGCATTCCAATTTTAATTGCTCTTCTTGATGATAGCTATTCATAGGCACAGCTGATGGTGGCATTAAAGCATGGAATGTTGATGCAAAGAGAGTTGTATGCGATCTTAACACAACTGAAGCATATCCAAGGTCCTCATCACACTTATCTTTGATGAAGATTCTTATTTTGGACTTGATCTTCATTTTCTTTTATTGCAGTGTCTTGGATCTTAAATGCAGCCCCGTGGAACCAATCTTTGTCTCTGCTGCATCATCTAGAGGGTATTCTCTTTTGCTTCTTATCTTTATCCCAAATCATCTAAAATTCTAAGTAGTTGAATAACTGGGAAACTATCTTTATAGTAAGTTCTTTTTAACTTTATATAAACATGGTCTTGTAACAATTTTATTAATGCTAAAATTATAATCTGGTTAATGTAGGTAATTTTTAACTTTATATAAACAGAAAGTTGAGATACAATGCACATCACACCACCCTCTAGTGTGCCTGATTGAGAACTTTCCTTGATAGCACTTGCAACCACTGAAGGACCTAATTAATATAAGAGCAACAGATACCTTGGACTTTTACTGTTAAATATAATCTCGGTATCTTCTACGAAATGTTATAAAAGGGTCATTGTTTAATGCATTGGTAAATTCTTGTGCTGACAAGAATGATAATGGTTCAAGTCTGAGATCAGCCACTTTGTGCAAAAATGCCAAAAGTTAGGTCCATATCCACTCCACCACTCTCAAGACTATAGATAGCTGGAAGCCTGGAACCAACATGAGTAATGGCCCTTTTTTAAGAAACACTGTAAGACATATGTCATATTCCCCCTCTTAACATTGAAATATACCAGTCAAAAGAAAAAAAGTATTTTACATCCAAATTTGTCCAACCTCTCCTGAGACAGTATCTCTACGTCAACTTGGACAAACCAATCCACGGTAGAACATTTGAAAATAATCTGTCTTGTCATAGAACAGCAACATAAGTCTTGGAAAGCAGTATTGCATGGATATGGACATGGGAACCAGAATTTGACATGTGTGTTTACATAGGGGTGCAAGTTGGGTACCCGATGTGAAAAATATACACACAGCATCAGGCTCGGACCCTCAGGCTGGGCCTATTCAAATTTTAATAAATGCACAATGCCTCGACCTGAGCATGCCCAAGTTGCAACCAATACAATATTTCATCCACTTAGGTGCGTCCATGCAACACTGCTGAAAAGTTAGAACTAGATGAGTGGATACCATATTAGAAAATTGTAGAACAAGACTGCCACATTAAAAACTTAATGAACTACCAAATCATCACAGCTGAACTCACTAATACCACCAACTTAAACAGGTGAAACACCTTGTATTGGTCTCAAGGAGAATGATTTAGGGAGAGTTTTTCTACCAGGAAAATTTTGGGAATATTGGGGAGGATTTGTCCTCTGAAGATTTGATAGCAATACCAACGCTTGCAAAAGGAGCTACTAGGCATTAAAAATAGTGATGATTGGTAAAATCAGCAGGGTGTTAAGGAAAATTGAAATTCCCTTGTCTAAGAATTTATTCATACAAGCACACCTGAAACATTTGGTGACTTTACTTCCATTTAATGGTTTCTTTTGTCCATTTCTACTTATGAATGTGTCACCATTTGCAAGAAAATAGTGAGGTACCATTGTGATTTTGAGGAATGTCTGAGTTGTAGCTCATTCTTCCATAATTGTGAAGTGATGACAGCATCCTCCTATCAGGCTGTCCCAAGTAGTCTGGAGTTGCTTTACTACCAGTTATAGAAGCAAGCATTTCTTGGTGACCAGAGAAACTGATTTTTCAGAGATTAATATTTGTTAAGTAAAATTAATGAAAAATTACATATATTGAAGTTTTAATGATTTTCTGTAGAATTTGCTACACCATTAATATTATTGTTACCCTTTCTCCAAAAAAAAAAAAAAATCATGATGCTATTAGCTTTTAACATGACAAAATCCTACTAGTACAAATGATATAGGGCAAAAAGATAAAATCATACTAGGATGTACGTGGTGAGAAATTAAGGATCTGATTTATGAGAGAGAGTCCTACCTAGGCATCACCTTAACAAGAATTCAGATTAGCTGAACGGATGGCTGTTCAGCAGGCTGTGGAACCAATGATGAGGTTCCATGCCAGTAATAAATTCATGGGCCCTACTGTGAAAGGTGCGGGCCCCATGTATTTATATACTGGTGTGGAACTTTATCATTGGTTCCACAGCCTGCTGAACAGCCATCATGTTCAGCTAAACCTTGCTCCCTTAACAACTATGTCAATGACAACAACTGCTTCTTCTAGATAAAACAGTGTTGGAGGATGTTTGTTAATCTTTTCTTCTTTTCCTTTTTGATTAGTAACTGGTCAGATTTTATTAAAGGAAAAGAATAAAGAAGTGAAAATAGAGAGCTAGCCCACTTGCTACCCCTCCCTATCAAATTAGAAACTCCCAACCTACAATCACTTGGTTAGTCTACTTCATAGCTGAACAAGATGATATGGAGAAAATTATAATCAACATTATGATTTTTTTTTGGGGTTAACAAGTTTCTGATTCATTTAGTTATTGCAATCCTTCTCTATTTTGTTTTTGGTTGCACAAGATTCTTATGTGCTATTGTTTTTGGCAGCCGTGGCTCAAGATATGTTGATAAAATGGGGTTTGCTTCATTAACAGTTTGGAACATGAAAACATGGAAGGCTATGGTATGAGTTTTGGTTGTCCAAGAGCTTCACATTTTGATGGTTGGTTTGAACTAAATCAGTTAAGTTTTATCAAAATTTTGCCTTTCATGAAGACAGTCCTTCCTCTCGGTAAAGATCATCCAGCAGTTACTTCTCTTTGCTTCAATCACAATGGAAAGATTTTAGCAGCCTCTGCAACCGATGGAATGATTCATATGTTTGGTATCCTTTAATTAGATTATCGTCATTAGGTTTTGAATAAGATTTAGCTTTCAGTTACGCACATGCATTTCTGTCCCTCATACATGTGTGTCATCCTTAACAAGTGGAAGACATGTCAGCTGGCCTACAAATCACAGGATGGCCTGCCCATGATTCTGCAATGAGCTCTCTCCTTTTTGGGCCTGATGAGACAAGCATCTTCAGCTTGGGTTCTGATGGAAAGGCAAGTATTTTTTGTCCTGTACCTTTCAATGTGTAGCTATTCCAAATATTTGGATGGCGTTTTTTTTTTTTTTTCTAAAAAAACAAAACAAAAAACAAAAACAGGAACAGTGTTTCAGTAAATTTTTATCTGAAAATTTCACAGTGGTGGGTAGTTCCTTTCCTAGCTAAAGTGAACATGGAGAAGTTTATTTAAAGTAGGTTGTTCATTACAGATATTTGAGTGGAGCTTACAGAACCAAGGCCAAGTTCTTTGGTCAAGAGATTGTAGCAGGTACATAAACTATTTGCACCTCCTCCACATATAGTAACTTATTTTATTTATTACAAGAGTTGGATGCGTTTCTAATTATAATTTATAGTAGAATAATTCAATGGTCTCTAAAATCCTGCAGATTGCAACATCTTTAACTTGGTATAGGCATGGAGATTTTGATAAATGGACATAATATTTCACAACGATTCTATCTCCATGTGCTGCCTGACATTTAAAGCTTATTTTCAAATGCAATAATTTGTTAGTTAATATTATACTGATTTCAGTTGGCCAGTGTTTTTTTTTTTCTGAAAAAGCTAAGGTAAATTTATTGATAGAGCTGGTGTTGAAAAACCTGCAGATGTCTTCCTTGAGAAAGTTTTCTTTTTTCTTTTTTCTTTTTTCTTTTTTAATTCTGGATTATTGGAACAGCACACTGCTAATTGTTTCACTTCATGCTGATTGTTCTTGTGGTCCATCTAACCCATTTCTATCTTAAGGAACTCATGCAACCTGGGCATAATTGATATGTAGGTTCTGCAACCCTGACAGTGCTGAAATCTATAGACATGAAATGGCATTGGATGCTAGTGGGAGGAGACTACTTGTAACTTCCAGTTCAGTGAGATCACCCATTTATCAGGTGAACCACCCTTGACTTTCTTTTACCCTTTTCTAGACAATTGTTGGATTGAAGATTGAATTTCAGCTTGAGATCTCTCTTGGTGGGTCTTCAATCCCTGTTTGTGTGTAGCATACCGGAAGCACAAGGCGGTTTTTCCTAATCATCAATCCCCTTGTTAATTTCTTTTTTTTCCTTATCTTTTGCAGGTCCAAGGTCGTACTGGTAATCTAAAAACACTTCCACATAGTGCAGCCATAACAACAGTTGATTGGCATCCCACATTGCCCATCTTTCTGACTGGATCTGCTGATCATTCGGTCCGAGTTACCTCCATTTCTTGAATGTTTTTGTATTAATTTATTATTCTTATTATTAACATTATTATTTTTAAATGTTGGTTTGTGATGTATAGGTAATGAAGACTTCGATTTGTAAACTATTTCCCTACTTATATCAATACATATCAAGATTAATAATCTGTTTAGTTTTTTGGCCTTCACTTATCAAGGTTATTCATGTCACCCTTGCTATTTTTTCTCCCTTTCCCCTTTCTTGCTTCCACTTTAACTCTCTCCTTCCATTCTCCCTTCCTAATAGAGGTGCTCATAAAAAACCAAAAAATCGAAATGAACCGATGAAACCGAATTAAAAAATTGGTTAATTGAACCGATTAATTCAGTTTCGGTTCAATAATTTTGAAAAACCAAAGGATCGGTTGGTTTTCAGTCAACTAAAAAACCAGTAATTAACTGAACCAATCAGTGTACATATTATATACATATTTTATATATAATATATCATATATTATCTATATATTATATGTAAATATATGTATGCATTATATATAAATATATATAATATTTATAATAATCTATTTATGATATATTATATATTATAATATTTATAGCATTTAATATATATATATAAAGTAAAAAGTCGAAGAACCAAATCAATAAAAAACCGTAACCAGCCAATCGGTTGATTCAGTTCAGTTTCATTTCAGGAAATCTGAAAAATCAAAGGACTAAGGTTTCAGAATTTTGCCCATGGTTCGATTAACTGAATTATGAGCACTCATTCCCAACCCTCCCCCCCCCACACACACACCCCTTCCTAATCACCTAAATCATCTCCTCTCTTAAAATTTCTTCTAAACCATCTCTCCCATCTAAAACATCTCTTAATCTATCTTACATGCCCAATAAACCATCTAATCATTCTAACGTTTCTTTCCCCCCCCCCCCTCTCTCTCTCTCTCTCTCTATTTCTATATCTATCTATCCACCTTCCAAATATACACGTTTAATTTTTCATCAATGTATTAAAATATTAATGTTGAGTTAAAACTTTTTCTTGAAAAACAATTAAGTTAAAACATAAATATTGAAATAAAACGAGTAAATATATCTAAAATACTAATAAGTGAAAAAATAGATAATAGAAAAAGACAAATAATAAAAGTAAAGTAATAAGATTCAATAATTAATTAAAAACTTATTATAATTATAAATAACATTTTAATATTGTCAATATAAAATCTCTCTCTCCGTGGAATGTTTTGAGCCCCACCCATCACTATTTGTACTAATACTGAAATTTGATGAATACTATAACAAGAAAATAGGTCAAGAAAATATAAATTTTTAGCTACCAATTTGAACAGATTTTGATTGGTCCAACTTGGTGAGAAATAGGGATTCAACAAGATAACCAACCAATAAGGGAGAGAAACAGGGGGCAGGAGGAAGAGGCATCCAAATATAAATGAGTTCCAAGGTATGATTGTAGAACCCTTGATATATACTAGCAGAGATAGAAATTCACCTGGTCCAACCGGAGGCAAGAAGGAAGTCTGGTTAGGGAATGTCTGGACAAAGTTTTGGTGCCTCTACCAGGGATAGCAAGAGATGTTTCCCTAAGCATTCATGATAAATAAAGCGGCCTCTAGGTTGGGAATCATACCCCTATCATTCTAACCTGCATGCTTTAAGTTTGAAGGGGTCCTCGACAATTTAGGCTGCAAGAAGATTCTGGAGGATGTCTAGCTTAAGATCTAGAATAAGAGATCCTTGGAGATCATTGAGGAAAGAATAAAGGAGCTTGAGATGGAATTATATCGCAGAGAAGTTCACTGCCACCAAAAATCCAAGAACAATTTACCCACTCCTTTCATCAATTCACAATTTAATGGAGGAGAAATATAATTTGCTGTTGAATGCGGTTCGGGTGAGCATTTGGATCTCTAAGCCTTGGACAGTCCTAGGGGTAAGGGGCTTACTTCCTTAAACCCGAACCTTATGGCCCACATCCAAAATAGAATAATTCCAGGAATGATCGATGTCTTGAATGCCCCTTTGGCCTTTGATGAGGTATGTACACCTTGTAGCTTTCGATATTAATCCCAGACATCGATCAACTCCCTGGGCTACCAAAAATTCTAGAGCCTTGTAAGAAAATATACTACAAAAGCCATTCAATTATGCTTACAAAATGATTCCATAATCCATACCCGAAGAAATGAGCAAGACAAATATAGTTCTGATCCCAAAATGCCACAAGACCTGCGTATTTGAATAGGATATCACTTTTAATTCACTGCTTTAGGGAGGCTAACAGAAGTGCAGATGCCTTACCTAGCTATGCGGTATCTCAATGTTGTAGTAGATGACTAGACAGTCCCCCTCCTAATATTTTGTCTGTTTTGTGGGAGGATTTGGTTGAACTACCGCAATGGCCGTCTTGTAAGGTTTCTGTAGCTAATAAGTACATACTATCCTTTTGCACAAAAAAAAAATGAATACTCCAAAATTCTGTACACATGCAGATTGGCTTCCATCAGGGCAAGCCCTTGGAGATATTCTCAATGCAAGACTGTAAAGGCTGTTCGACCAGGCAGTGCCCTGATCGAAGCCGAATTCCCACAAGTGCCGAAACCTTGGTTGGAGGATCTTATAGACCAAACCCAGGTAGCCATTGTAAAAGATATCGATATGTCCGAAAACATCATAGCTTATGAGGCTTATTATTTTCTAAAAAAAACACGGGTAAAGCTGCATATGAATAAAGCTTACTATAAGCCATTTGAATGGGGATTCCTAATTGCATTGAGCCAACCAGCTGGTTGGTAAGGTCTCCTACTTGTTGTAGTGGAGACTTGGGATAGAATCCTGCCTACACCTCGGTTGGAGGGTTTATGATTTTGGGGATGAACTACCCATTGTGTAACCCCTTGGAATTGGTGTAAAAAATAATGCTAACTTGAATGAATGCTGCTCCTCTAGTTATAGCAAATTTCCATTAACAGGTATTGTTCCCAATAATTGCTAACAGGGTTCTTTTATGCTCTGCTTGTAACTCACATTGAAGCAACCATATAAGTATTATTATATCATGATGATGGCTTTCAGAGCAAAAGCATTTTCTGTCCACTATATACGAGTGTCTCAATTTCCCCATCTACCAACATTATTATTGTCTACACCAGTCATAAAATAAGTAGGACCAACAAATATTCAACCCCTCATTGTGGGCCCTATGTTTCTTATTACTCACGTGGAACATTATCATTGGTTTCATGGCCCACCACACAGCTAAAGTGCTCAGTTAATCTAGATCCTTCCAAGAGACTAGCTGTTACAAGCGAGCCCGGATATGCTCCTCACAAAGTGCGTCTCACTCTGGCCTTACAGCCTGTCTTGGCCGCACATCAAAAACATCTCCCATACTTGTAATTATTATTCATGGAGAGATGTTCTTATTGCAGGGTGGGATGTGACTGTGAGGTCGGTGTGAGGCATGCTCTGCTAGGAACAGATCCCAATTCGTTACAAACCTCTGAAAGAACAGCCAAGCCTTTTTGTGTTTGACAGAGCTTCCAGAGATGCCCAACCAAGATGACCTATAAACAATGTTCGGTGAAAAAACCTGGAAATTCTAGATTATTTCAGCCAAAAAAAAGAAAAAAACTCAATCATAGCTTCATCCCTCCCAAATAGACCCTTAATATGAATTTGGGTCTAGTATTATATTTGATCGGTCAAACTCTCAAACGTGAGATTGTCTGATATCAATGTATTATATCTCCATTCCAAGGTTAAAAGTATCAATACATATCGGCCCGTATTGGCCGGTACGCCCCTACAGAGGGTGTATCAGGGTTTTGACTGCTTCAGGGGGTGGATGGACCTTAAACCGGCCCTTCTAAACTGGATTTGAAAAAAAAAAAAAACTACCAATACTGCCCGATACGCCTCTACCGGCGTATTGGGCGTATTGATACTTTGAACCTTGCCCCATTCTCATGTCTGAGAGTTCCACCAATCAAAAGCAAAGTAAATTTTGATGAATTTCAATGGTTAGTATTGGCATTAGTACTAGGTTTTTAAGTGTAGAATATCCAGAATTCCAGACTGCTAATTTAAGAGAGTCCTTAAGCCTCATACACCAGTCATACCCCGAAAACCAGCAGCCTTTCTGAGAACATGGATTTACTGAGAAAGGAGGCCTGAAACCAAACCATTCGTCATCATCCAGAGAAACCCCCATGGCTATTGCAAAATTTGCAGCTTCATTACAGACTCTCTATTAGCACAATGGAAACAAACAAACAAAATATCAACTGGTATGGAAATATCTTTCAACAAATAAAGTATCTACTATCTCCTTCCACAGACATTCGATCAAGTCTTTGCAGTCATTTCAATGATAATTCTCTTGGAATTCCTCCTTACCCACCAAAATTCTTTCCTTGATCACCCATGCTTCTGCTTCTATAGTCAAACGAGAACAGCTTGGGTCCTTGTAACAAACGGCCTGGGCTGTTTTGGAGCTTCTTATTCTTACATATATATGACACGCAACCCCAATTAGTCTACCCATTACCATATTAATCTGTCATGCACATAAAACTTTAAAACAGTCCAAGGCTTTTTTCCTTTTCAAACAGACAAGCCTTTCTTGAATTTGGGAATCTTTGACTGTTTGGAAAAAAAAAAAGAAGTCTGGGCTGTTTGAGAGCTTCTTCCGCATGATTTTAGAGTTTAGGATTCAGGGGTTCAGATTTTAGATTTTAAGATTTGGTTTAAGGTTTAAGGGTTAAGATTTATGCTTTCAGGTTTAAGATTTAGATTTAAGGTTTAGAATTTAGATTTTATGCTTTCAGGTTTAAGATTTAGATTTAAAGTTTAGGGTTTAAATCTAAAAATAAGGAGGTGATATCCTCCAACGTGGTAGGAGCCAAGTATTTTTCTAACTGGGACCCATATGAATCCTTTACTGTTTGTAAATAATGAATATTCTAGATCAACCAGATGAGATGCAACATGCCTCCGCCAGTGATGATGTGTGCCACGGATGAGCAGGATGGTGGGATAGTGAAGCTGAGTAAACCGTGTGAACCTCACGGTTAGTCTATACTTAGAAAAACGTCATCCTAGTCATAAGGAGTGGGCTACATTGAAATCGTTTTTTCTACCATTATGCTCTGTTCTATCAATGTCATGTTCATTGTTTAAGAACTCAGCTGCTATTGAGATTTAACGTATGCTGCTCCTCAGAAATGGAGTTTGACAATCTTGGATTGTCTTCGATCTCCATCAGTGAGATTGCTGCAAAATGGGGCGTGGACAAGAAATATGCATGGGGTGGGGTTTCCAATTTGCTGCTCTAGCCATGCCATGTAGAACCACCCATACACAAATATGACAATTTCCAGTACAAGAAACCAGGAAACAACAAACAATGATTATACCAAAAGAAAGTAACAGTAATTGTACAAAATACATGGATGAATTCTAGCACAGTTTAAAAGGATCATAAAATTGGACTGTACAACCCTTTTTTGATTTTCTTATACCAGCCCCACGGTTGAAGACAGCAAAAATTCACGAGGTATGGGATCTTTTTTTATCAGTTATGAGGTATGGGATCATTACCTTGCTAGAATTTTACTCAAATCTTCCAGTCTGGCATTGAATTCTCCCTGCCCTCACCACCAAACAAAAGGATAAATCCATCCTATGGATATGTAGAAGACTGGTCTCTAACTTTCAAAAGGGACTGGACTGCAGGGAACCACAAATCATACAGCAAAACATGTGGCCATAATAATTTAAACACAATACGTAGGCCAATTGACGTGAGCTTAGCAAAATTTCTACCCAAACTTTAACTTATTTGCGGCGTCTGTTGGTAACCAACTCGGGATTACCTTTCTTCATCATGGCTACAAACTCGTCATAGTTAATCTTTCCATCCTGCAACATAAGAGGGAAAAGGAGATAATATAAATAAAGTACAATATCACCAAATTAGAACTATTAAATGAGAAGGCATCCATTAGACCTTTTCTTGTTATTTCTGACTTGTATATATCATGGCTGAAGTCGATAACAGAGGTCTAAACATCATTAAACCCAGCTAATACAAGCGAGATTTACATATTAAAAAAAATAGTTGCAGAACTTATTTCTTGTCATCTCATGAATAATTGTCCAACAAGTGCTTTTTCTTGCATGTTATTCCACAACTTTTCCATTAATTTTGGGACTTTATTTACACACGAACTAGCAAAACCAATGGTGATTTAACCAGCAATACTAGCCTAAATAGTAAATAGATAGTAATTTGTGCATTTGTTAGTTCCTATGGTTTTCAGACTGCAACCTCCTCAGAAAGATCAGCATCCTATTCTTTCCCCAGCTGGGTTTTTTATCACATGGAAATCACCTTTTTATATTAAAGCAAAACCCTCAGACAAGAAAGACTCCCTTCCAACACAAAGCAAGCCTCTCCATGCAGAAAAAGGGATAAAAATAAATTTTAATTCAAAATATTGGAGTGCTGTAGGTCCCACTCTAGCTCTATAATCATGTTTCCTAGTTGAAGTCAGAGAGCTAATTCATCTTTACCATATAACTAGCAAGAAAACCCATGCAAATGCATGAGGTTATATAGAATTTTGATTAGGTTTGGGTTGGAAAATTGAGATTTTGACATTAGTTTGGTTCCAAGCCAAGGTCTATGTTCAAGGTTGCTCTAGGGTTGGTGGATTTAATGGGGGGAGGGGAGATGTTACAAACATTGACTATCGAAGAGAGAGAGGGAGGGGGGGGAGAATTAAGAATGACTTTTATTAGAGAAGAGTAATGATAGATTTTAATAGGAGATTGAGATTTATCAGACTTTATTATGAGGGTTTTTATGAGATTTTATCGAAGAGAGAGGGTTTTTATGAGGAGACATGTTCATACACTGAGATTTATCAGACTTTATTATAGGAGATTAAGATAATTTAAAAGTTTTATTATTTTGGTAAATTCTTTACTTTTAATATTTTCAAAATTTATGTTTGGAAAGTGAGTCTAAAACAAAACATGTACCTATATAGCTTCCGCATACTGAATGTGTGGTCATTAACATATATTTGAAAATAATAAACACATTTGAAGTAAACAAACCATACATGATCTGTGTCAACTTCTGCAATTATTTCCTTTATGGTTTTCATGTCTCCCATATTGTACTTCGTGAGGGCTTGTTCCAATTCCTCCATTGTAATGTACCTAAAAGGACAATAAATAAAATAGGAATAAAAAATGCATGCATAGGCAAGAAACAAACAACACTAATAACACCAGAAATGATTTACCAAACACTTGTGTAACATTGTAATAATAACAAAGTGAAGAAACATAAATGTTTTGAGAAAAGAACTGAACCCGCTCTTGTCTTTGTCAAAATACTCAAAGGCTTTATATAGATGCTCTTCTTTCTCCATTCTATTCATGTGCATTGTAGCTGTTATAAACTCAATATAGTCAATGGTTCCATTTCCATCCACATCAGCCTGAGAAAGAGCCAAGAATACTTTGTTAACCATACCAAATAATCAAATTGTACATGCAGTCCTATATGGATAGATATATCTGGAAGAGCCACAATCAGAAAACATCTAAACAACTTCAAATGAAGTAGAAAGTCCTTAAACTCATGGTGTCAGGGAGATCTAGTGACCAATTTTTTACATAGGTCCTTTCGCCTTGAAATATTGCTATTTCTTGTGTATTTGTCTGCCTTTGTACAACCCTCATGTTATGTACTAAGTTTTTCTATCTATATTGTATATTACATGGCTAACTTCTGAATGTGATTCATCTTTAATAGAGTATGACATATTCCTAATGCAATACCTACTTCAAAAGAAGAGTTTATTCAACCAACCAAAAACAGAGTCCAAATGCAGTTCTGCAGCTATAGTCCACCAAACTCATCATATAGTCAGATCAATATATAAAATCGTTTGACCTTTTCATTTGGGAAGTAGGGTTTAGGCTAGGTTTTGGACCTCAAGTCTAACATGACATTCTCTCTATGTTGTTCTAGAAACAGGACAAGCATCTGCCAGAAGCACCAGATAAATTGAAAAGGAAAGACTGAAGAGATCCTACCGCCTCCATCAACTGTCTAACTTCAGACTCAGAAAGCTTGCTACCAAGTTTCGGAAGACCCGCTTTCAATTCCTCAAAAGTGATTGTTCCACTGTTATCTGTGTCCATGGATTTGAACATCTCTTTCAACCCCATGATCTCCTCTTCAGAAAGATTTTCTGCAATAACCTGGAAGAGAAAAAGGAAGGAGGGGCACAAAGAAAAAGCTCAAAGAAGGTTCCAGATCCTTTTGAACAGAAAAGGCATAAAAAGGATCTACTATCACCTTCAGAGCTACTTTTTTGAGTTTGTTCATTGCCCTGAACTGCTTCATTCTGGTTAAAACTGCAATATCAATTGGCTTGTCAGATGCATCTCCATCTTCTCTGATCCATGGGTGGCCTGCATTTAATTTCTGGCAGTCAAACTTTATGCTTCTCGTTTTCAGAAAACCAAATACATAAAAAAGGAATTATTTTCAGAATATTCACAGGCATATGCTAAAATAATAACAATAAGACTAAATTCAAATAAAGAAATGTATTAGTGTGCGTGTGTGTGTGTGTATGCACATGCATATTACATTACCTTCAAGGAGAGACTTGGAGAACCACCCCTCATCCCAAATAGATGGTGCATGTGAAATATAGGTGAAACTAAGACTTAAAATGAGACCAACCAGGAGACTTACATATTTGAACTTAAATCATGACATGAGAACAAACTGCACAGTAGTTTATTATAGATTCAAACATGTAGGTGTCACATAGGACAGCTGAAGTGTAAACACCCCCAAATATAAGAAACATCTTTTTGGCGTTTTCCTCAACACCCCCACGCACTTGACCCAATTCAAAGTGTGGCATGACCATCTGAAGTTAAATCAGCCCAACAAAATCCGTTAAGGTCAAATCACCTATGTGGTACTTAGGTTGAGTCAAAATGGGAACACAACCAAAGCTTATCTGATTTGATTATTGTAACTATCCAATCAAGAGGCCTTTATATGGAATAAACCCCCATCAAACCTTTTTACTTGCACTTGGATAAGAATATTGTGCCCTTACCAAATCCAAAGTACATGAGTTCCCAATCCAAAACAAGGGACTAGAGTATTAGCTTTAGAAACCTCAAAATGAGACACCTCTTGACAATTCATTTTTAGATGACTCACAAGAAAGTGAAAAATAACATGGCTATGATCACAAACTCGCACCAACTTTTGCCTCAGAGATCACTTTAAGCAGGGATCCATCTAATGGTGGGTCACAACCCATCAGCACATGTGTGACATGCCATGTGCCACAGGGCAGCTTCTTCCCTCTAACTATATGATGAATGTAATAGTAATTTGAGAAAGATTAATATTTATATAACAGATATGCTATATTTATCAAATATAACAGATATGCTATCAGGGAATTGTATGCATGTTGGACATCTCATGGCCACAGTTGAACCAATACACACATTTGGCTTATCCTTTCAGATTTTGAAGACTTAAAACTTACTTAGAACTTCCACTGCAGAAAGTCGCTCTTTTGGATCATGCTTTAGCATCTTCTTCACAAGATCTTTAGCACTACTGGATATAGAAGGCCAAGGATCAGACACGAAATCAATATGACCTCGAAGAATAGCATCAAAAATACCTTGCTCATTCTCTGCAATAAAAAATAAAAGTCATCAAAAACAATATCAGAACACCTGACTCAGAATTAGGTGATATTTAGCATTTGAAACTTAGGAAATAAAAGGACCAGAGACTCATCATCCTTAACCAAACCCATTTTCAGTGTACATGTGGCCATTCACTTGTTGACCCATGCCATGACATGATAAGTGAAGGGCATAGCCCAACCTAAATGGACACTTCTAACCACCCTAATTATTGACCTCTCTTACAACTGAGCTCTAAATCCATAGTTCCAGTATGGATCCTCTAAATATTCTATTTTTTTTGCTCCACGCCCCAGGCAAAATAAAAGGAATACAAGGTTTGGACCAAAGAGATTGCAAATAATCACAAGGATGCAAGCATGGGATCAACAGAAAATGACGGATGTTTTCCCTCATTAATACGGATGGAGTAGGTACCTCCCCAAAAAGGCGGGACACCACTAAGAAGAATGTAGAGTATCACTCCAGCACTCCAAATATCAGCCTCAGCCCCATAGTTTCGTCGCAACACTTCTGGAGCTACATAATATGCACTTCCAACAAGATCTCTGAATACTTCCACTGCGGACCGCATAAACATTGTAAAAAAAATGGCACTGGTTAGAAATGCATCATGAGTTTCTTTTTTTTTTTCATTTTTTAGAATAAGCAACTACTAGAAACACTAATAATCATGCAAAGAAAAAGCAGTGGTTTTCCATAACATCCGGAAGGATCATAATAGCTTATAATATTTTAAGCCCGAGATGAAATGTCTTAATAGTTAACTTGGGATGCTTGAAATTCATTTGTGGACATAGCATATGAAGAATGTAAAGTTAAAATGGAATGAAGTGTCACTATTTTCATTTGGCATCTCTAACAATTCGTGAAACAAACTAAAAGAACAGAAATTAAGTGATCAGCATATACAAGAAACTAGATGCATGTAAGTAACATTATAAGAAACAGGAAAGCATTATCTTGCTTTCATTAAAGACTCATTTTGAATCATGAATATGGATTACCTTTGGTGGTTCTAAATGATGCTACTGCATCAACTATTCTTAGATCCAAGGTTTGTCAATTGAAGTGGCCCCATTGACAAAAAATCAAAGGTATGATGATAAATCTTTTCCTGTCTTTTGATAGAAAAGTGGTTAGCATAGTACATTCAGGTAGTATTTTGAAAGCAACTGAAATAGATGCTGAACGCCAAAACTTAAATCTAGGAGTGCTATTGTACTTAAGCATTCAGCAAGGTGGAAGGTTACTAGAAGGCTGAAAAGGTACTTCTAAATTTGGAATCTTTTCTGCATTCCACTTTCAGCGTCTATTTCAGCAGTTTTTAGATACCACCTTATTGGCTTAGCAGGTCCAATTGTGATATAATCCCAAATATCGTTTAACATGCAGGGAAACTTGCTAACATATCAAACTGACAAGACAAGTGAAATACTTATGCCAAGCATTGATGAATTAAGACAACCAGACAAGTTAGTTACGTTTTTTATAAGTCGCTACACTAATTCAATATTATAGTAAAACATTAGGTTATATGAGTAGCATAATATGTATAAATCCCACGATCAGTCATGAGTCAAGCAGCTAATTGAGCTACGAGATCGAAACGACTCCGTCATTATTTTCATAAGACGAGTCAAGAACATAAATGAATAAAGTCCTATAATATTTCTGTAGGTTTTCTCAACCAGGCTTAATAGCACTTCTGCTCTCTACCATCATTTACCTCCGTAGCTTTAATTATTATCTTAACAGGGTTTTGCATAAAACCTACGCAATTTAATGCTACAATAAAATCTATAAACAATGAGAGGGGATGCGTAGAGGCAGTCTAAAAGTGGATTTTACGATAGAGAGAAAAGAAGGGGAGAAATTACCAGGTTTAAAGAAAACGGATAGCCCAAAATCTGTGGCCTTCAAAGGGGAATCCTCCTCCTTACTCAGAAACAGAAAATTTTCAGGTTTAAGATCCCGGTGCATCACCCCCATGGAGTGGCAATTATGAACCACGGTCACGATCTGACGACACAACGCCGCAGCCGCTCGTTCAGAGTAATGACCCTTGGCAATGATTCTATCGAACAGCTCACCACCTTCACATAGCTCCATCACCAAATTCACTGACTGACGGTCCTCATACGCCCCTTTCAGCTCCACTATGTTACGGTGCCCCGTGAGGTGGTGCATGATCTGAACCTCCCTGCGGACGTCCTCGATGTCATCACGATTGACGAGCTTACGAGTGGCGATGGATTTACAGGCGTATTGCTGTTTAGTTTCCTTATGTGTGACCAAGTAGGTGACACCGAACTGACCACGGCCGAGCTCGCGCCCGAAAATGTACGTGGACCGTACATCTTCCATCGGACGGCCGAGGACGCGGCCGGTGCTTGAGAGTGGACGATGAACGAAGGACGGAGGTTGCTGTGGGCCTTGGTGCAGGATGGAAGGAGGCGGCGTAGGTTTATCATCGGGGCGCACGTTAATGACGTTGTTGGTTGGGGGTGGCGCATGTAAGTTTGCTGCTCCGCCTGGTTGGAGTTGATCGCCGTTGGACGGTAAGCCGTTGCAGTTGCCCATCTCCGACAGTAAGGCAGCGATGGGTTCGGTTTCGGTGTGACTTGGGACTTGGGAGAGAGATATGCGGGTCTAATCTGACAACGAGTTGACTCATTGAATCAAATGACTAAAATATCCTTGAAAGCACCAATCCCCATGTCAAGTACTTGCTCGTCGGATCTGCTCCTCACGAGGCACGCCTTACACTGACTTTACAGAACGTATCAGCCGTGCATCTGGAACATCTCTCATGAATTAAAAATTTATAAGTAGGAGGTGTTCAAGGTGCACGGCTGATATGTCCTGTGAGGTTGGTGCGAGGTGCAGTTTGTGACGAGCAGATCCTATTTACCGCTCGGCGTCAGCGTCAGTGTGTGTTAACGATTTGATCTATTGCTTGTGGATGCGTGATAGCGTCAGCGTGATCAACTTACTTTGACTCGTTAAAGGTTAAATGAAATAAATGCGTAGAAGGAAAACAATATGGATATTTGCACCTTTGAAACATAACAGCTGGCAATATACGTGTGAATGTGAATGTCCAGCTATCTATCTCCCAAAGGAATTCGGATTTGACTTGGGATGTCTGACAATAAGATACGTTCCAACACCCTAGGGTTCGATTCCCGGGTCCTGATCTGACAAAAATTATAAAAATAAAAAACGATCAAAATCCTTGAACAGTTCGAACGGTTTGATTGTCCGGATTTACCGAGTAAATCAACGATTTTTAGTTAAAATCTGGTTTTGACAAAAACGGAACCGGTTCCTAGTTTTTTCGGTTGGAATGTTTGGCCAGTTCGGTTTTGAAAACCATACTCGCATGAGATATGTGATTTCAGATCATATTGGTAGAGTATTGGGAGGTGATGTAGATTCATTTGATTTGCCATAAACAAAATGAATCGTGGAGATGTTCCCAATTTGCGGATGCAGTGACATGTTGGAACCAAGTTATGAGCGTCTTGTTAATGGTAGATGTGGAATTCCTAGTGACACAGGCAGCATCTTTAAAATTCACATAAGTCTGCAAGCTACTGTATTAAACCCTTGACAAGTTGACACGAATTTAGGGAGATCTGAATTCCTCAACTTTAAAGCTGGCACAGGCACAGCTTGAAGGCAAAACGTAAAACATAAGTAGCTTGAAAGTATTATTGCAGCTACTTGGCATGAATTTAGGTAATAACAAACAAGTGGAGAAAACATTATTCTCTATGTATGGCCCAATGTGCTATTCTCAAAGTATTCACATGGGCTTTACTTTCAAATTAAAGATGCTCCGTTTCAGAAGGGTAATTAAATGACTTTATTGAGAGTCTACATGAAATTAATAAATCCTTACACAAAGATGCCACAAGGCAAGGTGGAATTCCAAGACCATTTGGGAAAGAATTAGTTACATGTTATGGTATATTTGGAAAAATCTGAATGACAAAATTTTTAAAAATAAAAGCTGTTCGCTCCACAATCTATATTTCCTACTCACTTTTCCTATTCATTTTTTATCTGTGTGGCTGCAATTCACGATAAATAGAATCCTGTTTACTCGCTTCAGGAATTAAAGTAAAAGTCTAGAGGCTATTTGATGGATTTTATAAAGACATTGACTCGGGACCTGAGAATCATAAAGCACAAACTCTAAAATAAAATGGATAAGATGGGTCCCCCCTCCATAAAAGGAGTGCCTTTGGATGCATTGTAAGAGACCACCTGGGCAAAATCCTATTAGGGAAGATGGAACCAATTGAACGAACCTCAATCATAGTAGCAGAAACCTGTGCTGCCTTTGAAACCCACAAGATAGGTAGAGACTCAATTATGCCTCAATTACAATAGGAGATTCATTGACAACTATTAATGGAGTTTTTAGGTGCTGTTCGGTAGTGTGTTCATCTCGTGGATGGACCATTTCGGTCCATGCCATGAGATGAAAGGTGGTGTGTTCAGTTCATTGTGGACAGGACCGGTCCACACTATCTCGTGGACCAGTCCTGTCCACACTCCAATTTCTCAGCAATACCTTTTTTTTTGGTGGATGGGGTAGGTCCATGGGTTGAAAATGCTAATATGTTTCATGCGTCCTTTCTATAACCTTACATGCTTTACCGTTGTCCCCGCTGAAAGTCTCCACCATTGAAGCTGTTTTGCTCTGCAAAGGTTTCCATCGAACCTTTGATGTGCTCCACCGAAGCCGTTCAAGCTCTTCACCGAGGTATCATCTAGTGGAAAGACCCCTGTTGCATCTATTTTTGATCTTGACCAACATCCTCTTTTTTTGCTCTTCACCGAAGCCGTCCAGCCTCTGTTGTGCTTTTTTTTAATCTTGAACAACATCCTCTTCAGATGATCCAAATTTCTTCTCATTTTCATCTAACTGAAGGGGCTCCATGGCATCCTCCATTTTTTTTATTTATTTCATATGCATTGACAGATTTATGTGAGATCCTTTCAACCTCACCTTTTGGTTTCTTTTCGGCAGCTTGGCACTTTGGTTTCTTTCAACCTTAAATCATCTCTGCTTTTGTTGGTTTTAGAGGTATTATTCTCTCTCTCTCTCTACCACTCCCATGTTTGTCTTTTTGGATATTCTTAACGCAAATGCTAGTCAATAATCAAAGCAAGTATAACCTCCATCACATTCATTTGCAAGTGGGACTGCCAAAATAATGTTTTTTAGCTTTCCTGGAAATCCATCAACACTTTCCTCATATCTGCTTCATCCACAGTAAAAATGATGTCTAGTGGGGACATTCTAGGCAAAACTATGCAGGGAGGAACTCGTTGTCAAAGACTTTCCCAAATATACTATTAATCCTTCATGCATGCCAAATCTTCTTACATTGGTCTCAATGAGTCTGCTTGAACCTAGAATTAAAGTTTTAGATGGGGATTGAGATTTTGAAACAGAGAATGTTACCATATCCCTAAATACTCTAAATATTGTCTTTCTTTCAAATAAAAGTATGTATAATCATCCGGGCTTAGTGAGTTAGTGGTGGACATGTTGTCAAGTATAGTTGTTTAGGAAAAGAGATCCAATTATAATTATTAAGTAGTGAGTTGAAACAAATAATTCATAGAGGTTTATTGGACACTAAAGTCTACAGTGCTTTGGTTGAAAGCATGTGACAAAAATACTGCTTTCATTTTTATACGGCACGGTGCTTTGACTGAAAGCAGGTGACACTAAAGTCTACAGTGCTTTGGCTGAAAGCAGGTTTATTGAACATGATGCTCAAATAGCCCCACATAGACATTATACACACATCATCAATACGTAGCACAAAGGCATACCAAATTCCACAAATCGGATATTATGCTGCTTGTATTTTGTAGGTGCAACATACTTTGCACTCTTTTTCTTATCTCTCTTATAATGGTGGTCCTTTTATTTTTATTTAAGTAATAGTTGTAAGTGTGGTGGTTTATCCATACACTATTGTAGGAAACCAATTGAACAATATTTTGATATTATGCTTGTCTTACAACTAGTATGGGAATCAGTGGATTATTAATTTGCATAAATCGTTAGATGTCATGCTTATCTTACAAAAATTTCTTGTATCAATTGTTTAAATATTATTTTTAATATTTTTGTCAATAAAATATTAATTATCTTACTTATTTTTTTAATGTTTTTATCAATGAAATAATATATTATTTAAATATTTAATACATATTTTATAATTTTTTTAATTATTTTACTATTATTTTATAAAAAAAATGATATTTTTTGGTTGGTATTAATTCATTGATGCATTTTTTAAAATATTTATCATACAAAATGCAAAAATTAGATATTTATGATTAATTGTGTATATCGTTCATTCCATGTACATGATATACCTAGAACCAAAAAAGTGTGGTGCACTACAGAATGCCACTATGGGTGTGGACTAGTTTTATCCACACAGTTTGTCCACAATTTAGAACAACTACGAATTGTGGTGTGGTGTGGATTAGTCCCTGCCACAAGGTGTGGTGTGGATTGGTCCACACCCACCAATTTCTCATCCACATTATAGAGCATCCCCTTAATCAACATTTTAATCCTCCCTGGAGATGTGCTCATTTAATCGAAGATTGCAATTCCATCGCGAGAAATCTTCCTCAAGTCAACTATGTGCACACTTATAGAGAATGCAATTGTGCAATAGATTGGTTGGTAGGCAAGGGTCAACATAATTTCGAGGTCTTTGTGCAAGGTTTCCCTAGTGATCTTTGTCTAATTGTTCTTCTGGACATTGCCAGCAAAGCTCAACCACAGGTGGTGTAACCTTTCTCTCTCTTATTATAAAAAAAAAAATGATGCATTTAGATTAAGGCTGTCAGTTGGTCAGGTTCAATAGAACCAGAAACCGACCCAATAAAAAATGCTAAGGACTTTGAATCAAATCGAACTTGATAGGGTCTACAATTTTAGACCCAGAATTGAATCAATTGGTTCTCGAGACAATCAAGTTTGATTTGATGGACCCGATTATAATAAACCTATTAAAAATATTATATATAACATTAATTTATTTAATATATTATATATTTAATATATAACTATACATATATATATATATATTAAAATATTAAATGTATATTTAATGAAATTGCAAATCCCATTGACCAACTTTCCCCCCTCTTAAAACCCAAAAACACGAAAGCTCCCCAAATGTTTCCCAATGTTTCTCTTAAGAACATAATCAAAGTCAAAACACTTTTAACCCCAAAAACAACAAAGCATAAAATTGGGATTTTGTGTTTTGGGGTTTATAAGCCACAAACCCTAAAACTTATAGAAACACAACCTATAAATTAATGTGCATTTGGTAAGATAACAGATATGCCAATAATGAAACAATGCTAGGGCTTTAGTTCCTCGGTGGCATATCTCAGCGCCTGTAGCTGACTGTAGGAGTATATTATCTGACCTTCCACCTCACTCTGTGTCTTATATTAGAATGGGAGCAAACACAGCTACGCATGAAATTGATAAATTTGCTTTTAACTTGTAACAAAACTCAGATTTGGTGTGTTTCTCCTGTTTTTTCTTATTCATGTACCAAGTAGCGAGATGTTTATTGATGTTTGAATGAGATGCCTTGGTTCTTTTTCA